GGGGGGGGGGTATCTTTATTCATTATGGCTAGAAATTGAGTGTGTGGTGACGGATTATTTGACTTTAATGATGTTTCCAGACAGGGCTTACATGCTAATAATAAGGTGGTGCGATGGACTGGATTACAGCAGACTAGACTTGGAGCTCTGTCGGGAAAATTAATATGATCCTGAATTCTAGTCAGTCGATTTCAAAGTACATGTGTGTTTTTAATTAAGTTACACTCCCTGTCATAATATATATATTTATGTATATATAATATATAATAATTATATATATATATATATTATTATATATCCAGTATATAGTATATAATAATATATTATCACATTATATATATAGTATAATATAAATAGCCTACAATATATATATATAATATAATAATATTATAATACAGTATATATCATAAGTATATAGTATTTTTTAAGTGCCTTTTTAACCTCTTGATTAGCTCACACTCAGTGAATTAATGATTCAGGTGCAGTGTATTGTCTACCTGAGCAAAGGTTGGGAGAGAATCTAAAGTTTCTTTTCGGTGTGGTGTGCCAAAGGGAACCTGACACGCAGGAGCAGAAGCATAGGTGTCTCTGGTCCGTTTTGACCAAGCAGCCAGTCATCCTGTGTTGTTAGACACTTCATAACATTGGCTTGGTGACTAGCTAAAAATAAGAGTGTGGTACTGATTTAAAACTTGGTAAACATTGATTGGCATTTTAATTAATCCCCACTGTTTTGCCATAATGCTTCTTTAATTCTATCCTGTTGTTTTGAAACCTGATCAGTCAATTTACAGGCTTTTTAAAGTATCTGGTAACCATGGAGAAGCTTTGGTACAGAATACTTTAGAACCCTCCTCATCTATCTATCCTCTTCTTCTTCCTCCAACAGGTGGTCTCCCAGAACAGCACATCCACCATGGGGGTAAACGACACCTCCACCCCCAACACCACCACCATGGCCACAGGAACCTACAGCAGTTCGGCCAACTCCACCACCGCCGCCGGAGCAGGCGTCTCACTGCACGCAGGCACCCTCTCCTTCCTGATCCCCGCTATCATGGCAG